AAAAGCCACAAACATCAAATGGGAAGAGTTCGTCAGAGCAGACCCACACTGAAGAAAAAAAAAAGTCAACCGATCAATCCAAAGAAGTCCTTCAAGCAGAAGAAAAATGGCATCGGAAGATCAAAGTCTAGGACGGGAAATGTGACTGCTACAACCAGGAACTCGCCGCCGCTGTGGTTGCCCCCCCCCCCCACTTGCACAAGACTGGGCCCGTCAACATTTTATCAAGGGTGGAAGAGGTGCTCATGAGGCCCTGCCCCTTCTTGGGGGATTATGGGAAGGCAATGGTTGCTGAGGGAGGCAGAGTAATTTTCTTTAGTGGTGCAGCCACTGGTCAGTTGCCCGTGCATTCATTAAAGACCTTCCAACCCAGGCTCACCATAATTAAAGCAACCATAATTAAACTCAGTAGGTCTCTCACACACAAAAAGACATCAAAGTAGGAGGTAAACTTGTTCCAAAGACAAGGTTTTCAGAAGAGAGAGAGGGAGAGGAGAGAGAACAATAGGGGTTAGAAATGACTAAAATTCATCACATACCCAAAGACTAAAACAATCAGAAGAACTGGAAATGATAATTTTGTGAATATACATACTTTTTCTCCTTTCTTTTCTGATTGACTTAAGGGGTCATTTGAAGGACAAGAATTAACAATGTATTATAAGATTTAAATATATATGTAGAAATCAGCTAGATAGTAGTGGCTCACACCTTAATCTGGGAGGCAGAGGCAGGCAGATCTCTGAGTTCGAGGCCAGCCTGGTCTACTGAGTGAGTTCCAGGACAGCCAGGGTTACACAGAGAAACCCTGTATTGAAAAAAACCAAACCAAACCAAACAAAACAAAACCAATATATGTATAACAACCCCCAGCCTACATTCTTGACACAGGGTCTCTCATTATGATTAGTGATTTATCATTTCTCCCATCCAAGTACTAGCTGGGCCCGACCCTTGCTTAGCTCCCAAGATCAGGCCCATTCAGGATGGTATGGTTCTAGAGATGGCTAGTTATCTCTCTTCAGGTCTTTGAGTAATGGATTCCTGCCCATCTGCTCTTCAGCTCAAACACAGTACAGAATGTACTTGTGCCATTTCCTCATCTTCCAACGATAAACTATGGGACATTTTGCAAACGTGAATGATCCAAGGAGGTTGGCCAATGTGATGAAAGCGAGACAAAGAAATGGAAACTGGTAACAATGTATCGGGAGTTACAAGGGGATTAGTGATGCAACCATGCTACCACCTTTGAGAGACTAAAGACATGCAGCCGGAAGACACGAGTGAATGCAAACTTTCAATATAAACAGGAGAAATGGTTAGACTCAAGGTTGAAGATGTTTAGGAAGAAGGGACAACCGAGCAGCTTCACACGCAAGGAATTCATTGGACCATTTCTTTTCTCTTTTCTTTTTTTTTCCTTTTGAGGCTGGGTCTCACTAGATAGTCTTGGCTGGTCTGAAACTCACAGGTCTCCACTGCCTCTTTTCTGGAGTGCTGAGATTAAATGAAGGAGTCACTACACTTAATTGACAAATAATTGTACATTTACTGAGCACATTTTTTGATGTTTTGGTATCTTTATATATTGTATAATGATCAAATCAGACTAATTAACACTTCTCCGTCCACACTTACCATTTCTTTGTGTTAAGGATATGTAAAAATCTATTCTTAAGCCAATCTTGGTGTTCAAGGCCTGTAATCTCAGCTACTCAGGAGGCAGAGGCAGGAGGGTCACAAGTTCAAGAGCTGCCTGGGTTACAGAATGAGTTCAAGGCTAGATTCAAAAAGTTAGAGAGAGAGAGAGAGAGAGAGAGAGAGAGAGAGAGAGAGAGAGAGAGAGAGAGAGAGAGAGAGATTGGGGATTAGGGATGCATCTCAGTGGTAGACTTGCTGAGTGTGCACAAAACTCTGCCTGCAACTCTCAGTACTGAATCTTTAAAAAAAAAAAAAAAACCCTGCAAAAACCAAAACAACAACAAAACAAAACAAAAATCCCCCAAAACACCAAACCCAGAAAAAAGTCTCTTAGCAATTTTGAAACATAAAACACATTACTTGCTTTATTTTAATTATTTTCATTTAGTGTGTGTGTGTGTGTGTGTGTGTGTGTGTGTGTGTGTGTGTACCACAGCACACATATGGAGGCCAAAGAACAACTTGCTGGAGTCTGTTCTCTCCTCCATCGTGTAGGTCCTGGGAACTGAGTTCTGGTTTTTACACTTGGCAGCGAATGCCTTTACCACTGAGCCAGCTCACCAGCCCCATACAGTAGTTTATATTAACTGTAGTCACCATGACACACAATAGGCTGGCTGCCAGATTTTTTTTTTTTTTTTTTGTGTGTGTGTGTGTGTTTTCGACACAGGGTTTCTCTGTGTAGTTTTTGGTACCTGTCCTGGATCTTGCTCTGTAGACCAGGCTGGCCTTGAACTCACAGAGATCCGCCTGGCTCTGCCTCCTGAATGCTGGGATTATATATATGTAAGAAAGCATTTGTAATTTCCCCCACTGATGGTCAGTTTGTTTGGAATGGCGTGAGCTCACGGTCATCACTAGGTCCCTCTTACGCTGTGCTGCGCCAGGACTACCTGTAACACTTGTTACGTCATTCTTATATCCCATATATCCCGGGAAGGCAGTCTGTGACGTTTAATAGCTAATGCTTTATTAATTAATTTATCTGTGTGTATATGTGTGGACATGCACGCTATGGTGCTTGTGTAGAGATCAGACGGCAACTTGTGGACTCTCCTTCTAACATTCCTGTTCTGAGGGTTGAATTTAGGTCACCAGGCTTGGCAGCAGGCACCTTTGCCCACTGGGCCACCTTGCCAACTCCCAGCTAATGTTTTATAATATTCTATTGTCCAATTTGGGTTTTTATAATAACTTTCAGGAAAGAGCCATTAATTCTGGCATTAAAAACAAAGATGAAAAAGCTACAGGAGAAAGTATTTCATAGCTGGGCGGTGGCGGTGGCACACAACTTTAATCCCAGCACTCGGGAGGCAGAGACAGGCGGATCTCTGTGAGTTCGAGGCCAGCCAAGGCTTTACAGAGAAACTCTGTCTCGAAAAACAAAACAAAACACACAAAAACAAAGAAAAAGAAAAGAAAAGAGAGAGAAAGTATTTCCTATACTTGGTGCTGGAGAGATGGCTCAGAGTTTAAGAAAGCATGTACTGCTCTTACAGAGGACCTGAGTTCGTTTCCCGCCACTCATACTGGGTGGCTCACAACACCTATAACTCTAGTTCCAGGGGATCTAACACTTCTGACCTTCATGGGCATCTGTACTCACATGCACTTACCCTCCTCCAGCCCCCATTGCATACACATAATTAAAAGTACAACACATCTTTATAATAATATATTATTTTCATATTTTCTCACGGAAGCAAATTCAATTATAATGCAACAATACAATGTTTACATCTCTTTTAGGTACAGGAAGCAGTTTCCTAGGGGCATACTCCTTCATTTTCATAGTATCTCCAGAGCATAGGACTGCCCTAATAGTTCAGTCATGCCACAAGAACAGTCTGTGGCCTGACCCCAGAACTGGTGTGGTGTTTGCCGAATGCAAATTTACTCAAAAAGATATTCAGTACTTAGAGATTCACGAAGGTTATGGAAGGTGAGCTAAGATCTTAGGAGTCTGCGAATTCAGGCCAAGGTCCTGACCTTTGCACCAAATAGTTACTGATTGACATTTTCCTCCCAGGGCAAGTTTCACGGTGGCAGACAGACTGGAAGTAATGGTAAAATGCAAAAATGCAATGTTATCCTGTTTTGTTTCGCAACTCATTGCTGATAAAATAAAGTTGATCATCTCTTCATGTCGTTGTTTCCTATGTTTAGCTCAGCTTGGAATCATTGGCCCATATCATTGATTCACTTCCCCCTCATTATGACAGATTTTTGAAAAATCTACTTGTCAAAGCTCTTTACATAATAAAAGTGTCATGTTACAAATACTTTTTCTACATATGCCTTTAAACTTTGCATTCTTATTTTTTTTCCTATTTTTCCAAGATTGTTTTTTTTTTTTTTTTCCTGTGTAGCCTTGGCTGCCCTGGAACTCGCTGTGTAGACCAGGTTAGCCTCGAACTCAAAGAGATCCACCTGCCTCTGCCTCTTGAGTGCTGGGATTAAAGCCGTGCGCCACCACCGCCTGGCTAAATTTTGCAATCTCAGACCCAAAGAAGATGTACACCCTCACATATCTAAATATTAAATATAACTATTTTCTTCTCGGTAGCTTTCTCCCTTGTGCGTTTGTTTACGTGATCCTTCTTCTAAGTTAAATATACACGTTTCTCTTCTCTTGCTTTGTTTACGACAGGGGATGTGAGAAGAAAACGCGATCAGAGAGTCTCAACAGGTGGACAACCTTTTGCTAAATGACGCCTAATCTAAAATTAGGAATCATTTCGAATGGATTAACGTGACAAAGACACAATTAATTCCACAGCATGTTTTCACAGGTCTGGTTACTTCCTACTTCGGGCGCAGTAATCTTTGGTTTTAAATCCCTTTACTTCATGCTCCGTGGCTCATCTACCAACATTTCTCCGCTATTGGGAAGAACACCTCTTTTTCGTCGCCGGCACAGCTCTCCCCTGCCCCACCAGCGCCCCCATCTGTCTCTGAGCCCAAGTTTACCCGAGCTAGACCCCTGCAGATCCTAGCTCTGTGTGCCCAGCTCCAGAGACCTGCTCACGTACCCAGGTGCAGGAGCTCCCGGGAGATAGCTTTTCCGATGCCCGTGGCACCTCCGGTAACCACGGCTACTTGGTCCTGCAGCAAGCTGGGCGCTAGGCAGCTCTGAACCTTAGTCCAAGAGCCCATTGCAGCAGAGCGTCCGTCCCCAGGTTCTGGACTGAGAGAGACCTTGGGCGCTCTAGAGGGAGCAGGGCATTAGAGGCCTGCGCCCACGTGACTGAACAGACCACGCCCCCCGCGCCCGCGTGGCCCCGCCCAGGCCCCGCCTTCGCGACGCACTAGGCATCCTCCCAGAGCTGGACCGCTCCTGGCGGCCGCCTGCAGCCCTCTGCATCCTCAGCCTCCCTCCTGGGTCCCAGTGCACGTGTGGGTGAGACTCCTCGTTCGATTTTTTTTTTTTCGTATTTATTTTTGAATTTCGATGACATGCGGGAAAAGGAGAGGGGGATGAAGAGAGAGAACGAGAAAGGAAAGAAATGGGAAGGATATTCTCTGTTCTGAGAATCCAATCCTGGGGCCGTAGCTCCCACCGTTAATTAAAATTAAATCTCCAGGGCATCTGTGCGGAGAAAGGCTGCGGGTCTGGTCCCTCGCTGTGCCCTTCTGCAGCAGACGTCCGGCTGTCTGGGCTCCAGCTGCTGTGTGCGGGCGGCTAGGACGTGGGAAAGGCTTAGGTGAGCTGAAGGGAAGACAGACAAGACATCCAGGTCCCAGATCTCTTCTTCATCCGGGAGGGAGTGTAAGGGAGGGTGTGGGCCCGGAGAGGGCATACAGTTGGCAGCTGTCCGCAGAGCCTAAATAACGAATGATTAAAATAATAATAAATTTAGGCCCGCTCTCACCCCCTTCACTGTGCCCCACCCAGAAATGAAAGGAAGAAGCACCCTTCCCTAGGTTTGAGATCTGATCTGTTTCGTCTGGGCTACACAGAGACAAAAATGATGAGTCGCTGCGTGGTTCGTGGTTCGTGGCTCTTGCAAGATTCATCTCTAGATTTATGTTTGAGAGCCTGCCTTCTAGCTCATTCCTTCAGCAAGAAACTTCTCTGCTCTGAGTTGCTCCAGGGACCCATTTATTACTCACATTCTATTTGTTTTTAATTAACTAATTTATTATTGTTGTTTTTCTTTCTTTCTTTCTTTCTTTCTTTCTTTCTTTCTTTTCTTCCTCCTCCTCCTCCTCCTCCTCCTCTTCTTCTTCTTCTTTTTTGAGACAAGGTCTCTCTACATAGCCCTGGCTGTCTTGGAACTCTGTAGACTAGGTTGGCCTGGAACTCAGAGACCCACCTGCCTCTGCCTCTCGAGTGCTGGGATTAAAGGAGTGAGCCACCACGCCTGGCCCTTCTGTTTGTTCCTTAAAAAGTTAAAATTGCGTTTATTTAGTGTGTGTGTGTGTGTGTGTGTGTGTGTGTGTGTGTGTGTGTAATGAGTGTGGCTGTCCGAAGACAAACTGTAGGAGTCAGTTCTCTCCTTGCGTATGAGTCCCAGGAACTGAACGCAGGTCATTAATTAACCTTAGCAGCAAACACCTTTAGTCTCTTAGCCGTGCCCACTCTCTGCTTCCTAGTTTTGCCTTGTGAACTTGGCAGGCGTAGGGACTATGTTAGGTCCTGGGTCTTACGCCAGGCACAATGGCATTTCCAAGTTTGCTGGGGTGTCCTGTTCTCCCTTTCTAGGTAGTAAGCCAACAAATGCCATTTGTGTGTGTTTTGGGAGGTGGAGGCTGGAGCCACTACTTAAAACTCACAAAAAGAATTAAGAGTAGAATTGGGCATCGCTTCTCTCCAACAGCAAGACTGCAGTTCTGGGAGAACCTCATCTCCTCCTTGTTCCTCCACCTCCCTGCCCTTCTCTGGCCTGTTTTTAGGAGCACTTCCTTCTCTGACTTAGCTGCTGATAGATCCTAACCAACAGACATGAAGGAAGTACTAAAGCTCTCTGGCTATCTTTGTCTGGGTAGTTGATCAAGAGCTCCATCATCCTTATGTCAGCTGTGCTTAGGAACACATTAAAAAAAACTAGAACCGCTTTTAAAAAATAAAATTTGTGTGTGTGGTATATTCGTGTGTGTGTGTGTGTGTGTGTGTGTGTGTGTGTGTGTGTGTGTTCCTGTGGAAGCCACAGGAGGATGTTGAATGCCCTTCTACATCATTCTCAACCTTCCCTTGAGACAGGATCTCTCACTGAACCAGGAGCTCGCCCCCTTTTAGTTGATGGGAGCCACAGCAGACCTCCTGTCTCTGTCCAGCACCCCCTCACCCTCGGCTTACAAGCCAAGGTTCTGGGGATCTGACTCAGATCTTCACGATTGCACAGAAATTAGTACCTTCAGTTGCTGAGCCATCTCCACAGTCCCCTAAAAATAAGTTTAAGTAGACATGTTGAAGAATTGTTTCAGAAAAATATACTTTCCAGTTCTCCAATCCCAGTGACAAAGTGATATATGTTGTTTGTTCTTCGGCCACGTTGAAGATCCAACCATGGAGCTTGCACAAGCCTTCCTCCATGGAACTAACCCCTCCCCCTTCCCAATATGCTTTTTAACAGAGAAGAGAAATAGTGAGTGTGGCCACTGAGCAGACTGAGACAGGGGTCAGGTGAGAAGGTGACTGGGGGATATGAGGCAGTTGTGTCCAATGGGGATGACAAGGTGCCACCTGTCATCTGCAAGGCCACTGCAGGCCAAGCAAAGTTTTCTCCCTCAATCCCCATAAAGCCTGCGATTCAGAAGTGTGGGATCTCTCCCAGGGCTCCTTTGTTTAGAATAAGGAGGTACGTTCTCTTTGTCTCTGCCTCTGCCTCTAGGCTTTCAAAATCTGCTTGCCCCTGAAAGTCGGCACACCCGGCAATTTCACTTGGACGCCCTTTGTTTTCAGATGTTTAATTCTGGCCCCTTCGCGAGCCATCCCCCTCCGGAGACCACCACCATGCTGCTTTGGTGACACCTTTGGTCGAATCCGGCCCTGCTCCCCTGCGCTCTGCATCACTGCCCCCCCCCCCTTGTCCTGGCTGGGCTGTCCCCAGGATCCATCCACACAGCCTCCGTGCTGTCACACCCCATTAGCGGTACCTTCCTTTAGAAGATGAGATGCTTTTGCTGCTCACTCAGCTCCCCACCCCTCCCCCACCCCATCTTCCCGGTTAACATCATTTTCTCCCCCCCCCCTGCGAAGCAGCTGCTGGCTCAGGGGGGCGGGTGCTTGTGGGGGGCGGGTCTCAACGTGCAGATTCACAGACTCTCGATGCGCTGCAGGAATACCAACCAGGAAGGCCTCTAACTGCCCTGGGCCTCAAAGCAAGAGCCCTCTAAGACCGCTCACATAGGAGTCTTCAGTCAGTGCTTACTGAGCACTTGTGTGCCAGGCACTGCTCTAGGCATGGGGAATGGAGCGCAGTCAATAGGATGGTTGGGTTTCCCTGTCCTTGTTCAGCCTTATGTAGGAATGGAGGGGTCAGATTGGGGTGGGGTGGGAGAAGTACTCACTACAATAGCCACATAAAAGTCACTCTCTTCATTCCTTCTTTTTTTTAATTAAATTTTTTGTTTATTTTACATACTGACCACAGTTTCCCCTTCCTCCTCTCCTCCCGTTCCCTTCCCCCACCTCACCAAGCCCTTCCCCCACCCCCATCCACTCATCTCCATCCAGAAAGGGGCAGACCTCCCATGGGAATCACCACAGCTTGGCACATCAAGTGGAGGCAGGACCAGGCTCCTTCCTCTGCATCAAGGTTGGGCAAGGCAACCCAGCTTGGGGGACTGGGTCCTTAAAGCCAGCTCAAGAGCTGATCTGGTCCTGGTCCCACTGCTAGGAGCCCCACAAACAGACCAAGGTACACAACTGTCACACAGAGGGCCTAGGTCAGTCCCTAGCTGGCGGTCCAGAGCCGGCGAGCTCCCTGGAGTTCAGGTCAACTGTCTCTGTAGGTTCCCTTGCCGTGACCTTGACTCCCCTTCAATCTTCAGTTATTACAGTAAGGAGGGTACAAGGTCTTCATAAACAACTGCCTCTGCTACCAGGAGCTGTTTTCTTTGTATTAAGATGGTGCTGAATCAGCCTTGGTGTTATTTGTTTTCTCCTTACAAGGGATTGAACCTACAGCCTTATGTATACGGGGCAAAATGGCCTTATGTGTAAGCAGCGAGCACTCTCCCACTGAGCAATATTTCCAGCCCTCTTAAATTTTCATCTCCAGAAAGGGCTTTACTTAGTTGCCCAGGGTGCCCTTGACCTCACTCTGTAACTCAGGCAAGCATTGAACTTGCAATCCTCCTGCCTTAGCCTCCAGAGTAGCTGAGGGTACAGGGCCCACATCACCAGCCTGGGCTACTGATTCTTTAGTTTTCCATCCCAAAATCCAATGAATGGGACAGGTTGCTGGGGAAGGAAAACATTCATTTGGAAAAATGAGCAAACCAAGGAGATGGCAGGGAGCTGCCACCCTTTAAGCTTCATTAGAGGATACCTAGAGGCTCCCAGGCCTTTATAGGAAAGCGAAGAAGGAACAGGCTGGCAATGGGCAGCGAGACACCGTGCTGAGCTGAGACTGGATTTTCTTTCCTCTTCTGCTGTCATAATCCTGAGTTAACATTGGCTTTCATCCATGCTTCTGGTGAACTCGTTCGCTTTCTACAAGTTAAACATTTAACTTTAGGGCCTGGAGAGATGGCTCTGGAGTTAAGAGTACTTCTTCATCTCCAACAGGACCCCAGTTCGGTTCCCAGAACCCATCCTGGGAAGCTCATAGCCACTGGAACTCCAGTCGCAAGGGATCTGATGCCCTCTTTTGGCTTCTGTGGGAGCCTACATGCATGCACATGTGCATACTCATACACACATATATACACACACATAAAAATCAAGTCTGTGTTGTGTGTATGTGAATATGTGCATGTGTGTGGTGGCAGGAAGACAATGTAGAATGTCATTCTTCAGGAGCCATCAACCTTGTTTTTTTTGAGACAAGGTCTCTCACTGGCCTGGGGCTTATCAAGTAGACGAGGTCGTCGAGCCAGGAATCCCCAAATCTGCCTATCTCTATCTCCCCAGTGATGGGATTATAACAGCATATGTGCTACTACCCCTGGCCTCCTGGGGCTTAAACTCAGATCCTCAGGCTTATGTGGCCATCATTTCACTGACGGAGCTAGCTCTCTATTCTGTTGCTTAACTGTTTTTGTTTTTGTTTCCTGAGGCAGGGTCTCACTAGGTAGCCGTAACTGTCCAAGAACTCCCTATGTAGACCAGCCTGGCCTCGAACTCACAGAGCCTATAAATGCTATCCCCTGAATGCTGGGATTAAAGGCATGCACCACCATGCCCATCCAAGACACTTTAGAAACTCTTCTTAAAAGTTTCTGATTAGTAAA